AAAAATAATTAATTGAGAATTAATTATTATTTAAATAATGAGATTATTTAAATTTGAATTTGAACATATCTAGATTTTTCCATTTAAACTTATTTGATAAGTTGTTCAATTTAGAATTCAAATTAATTTAAGTTTGACTTAAATTCGAATTTGAATTTGAATTAAAATTGGACTACTGGATAAAGGATAAAATCTCTTCCTTTCCTATCTGATATAGGCGCCACACACACATGGATAAATCCCTAGGGTGACTGGCCACTTAAAGGATAAGGGGAAGGGATTTTTTATTCCAAATTCAAAATTGGAGATAAGGATTTGATACTATTTTGAAATTTGACTTCTACTCTTTAAATATGAGAAAGATAGAAAATTGTGGATACAATTTTAAAAACATATTTTCAGCCCTAAAAAGAGGTGTGGCCGAAATTCTCATAGAGTGAAAAAGAGAGAGCAAAATTTTTCTCCAAAAATTCTACATCGTGCATGCGTTGGTGTTTGTAGAAATTCGAGTGTTTAAGAAACATGTTTTGTCTCACGTGTGCCCACACACACGTCTACATGGAATCAAGGAATTGACGTGGAAGACTTTGGTATTCTAAACACAAAGCTTGGAGCAAGGACTATTCGTGGTCAAAGAAATTCAAGTTATCATCCGAATCGGCTACCAGGGATTTTTTCGGTTGATCCTTGAATCATATAAATTAATGTGATTAATTTATTCGTGCATAAATTAATATAATCTATAGAGTATCTCAAAAGTTTTATGAAAATTTTTTGTTATACACGATCCGCTTTTTCCTACCACGCTTCTGCACCCGAATTCGATTCGAGAACCAACAATGATAAGATAGTAACATACCATAAAATTCTCTTGAAAAAAAAAAAAAAATTCTACCAGTACCTACTAAATAAGGTTTTTCCATTACTCAAATGTAGAATTTTCAATTCCTGTTTGCTATGTGAGAAAAGGTCGTAGGGAAAAGGCTTATTCACAAAAGGGCAAAGATGCCTTACTTTTTCTGCATAAGCACAACTGGAATAAGTGCTCCCCTTTGCTGCATGTGAGATAAATAGTACAAGACAACGCAGAAAAGTCAAGAATAATATTATGCAAAAAACATAAGGCATTGTTTAGAATTGATCTCGTTTTTATTTTTCATATTTTAAAAAAAAATGAATTTATTTTCAAAACAGCGTTTGGCGCAATAAAAATAAAAAAATGAAAATGAAAACGATTTTTTAGTTTAGTGTAAAATGAGGAAATTGTTTTTTATTTTTTGTTTTTGTTTTCGTTTTTTCCTCTCTCGAGCAAAGAGAGGGAGATAGAGAGACATTAATGATTTTTATACTAAAAATAATCTCTTAATAAAACTAACAAACGTATTTTCAAAAATAATTTCTGTCTGAGATTGAAAACGTTTTCATTTTCATACAAAAAATAAAAATTATTTTCGAACGAGTTCTAAACGTGCCCTATATACCTCATAATTGCCAAATATTCCTTTTTATTTTCATTAATTTTTTTTTTTTTTTACATGTTTAGATCTTTAGTCTTTGCATGGACATGGAGAATCAGATTCCGTGATCTGTACAGTTCAACGTAGAAGAATCACAAAGCCAGTTGTTCATCATGGTGCTCCTTTCTGATCATTTTCAAATCCCATCATTGCCCTTTCAATTATCATCAACTTTTCTTGTTGTCCAATTCTGCCATTTTTGGATTCTGAAGCAACTATCTCTCATTTCTCTAATCTCTAATCTCAAATTCATGACAGTGAAGGCAAGTAGTTCTCCAAAAATCTAATTGGCACAAAATTACAACCTAATTTTTCTTTCAAGCACTTGTAATACCGTTTTCTAATGTGTATTATTGTACAATCAAATTATTGCAGTTTTGTTGCATGGTGATGAGGATCAACATTGACTGCAACGGTTGTTACAGAAAAGTAAGGAAAGCACTTCTTGAATTACATGGTAAGTTATTTCATCAATAGTGACTTCGTAATACACATAAATATATATATATATATATATATATATATTATATCTTAGTTTGATCTCTCTCTGTTATACATACATATATATATATGTATGTATGTTATATATGTGTAGAGTTGGAGGATCATTTGATAGAAAAGAAGCAGAGCAGGGTTAGTGTGTGTGGGAGATTCAGCCCGAAAGAAATAGCGATCAAGATAAGGAACAAGACCAATCGCAGGGTTGAGATATTGGACATCCAGGAGTATTTCACGGCCGCTGCCGATGACAACGTCATTGAAAACCAACATCATCATGACCAGAAACCCTTGAGCAGTTCTCGGAATCTTGAATCTGTCCGCAACCAGATTGAAACAAGTGCTGCTATTGCGTAAGATCAGACACACGTATATATAGAGTTCAACTTATGCAGCTGCTGTGTAGAACCATCATATATGTAATTGTTATTACGTCTGATTCATTTTAAGAATTCGAGTTTTCAATTTTAAATTTCTACAATTAAAAGCTCTAAGAAATAACACATCTAACTTTTTTTGTTACAGTTAAAAACTATCAAAAAATAATACATCTTAGATTGAATTGAAAACTCGAATTCGTAAAACAACCAAGGCCTTAATTGCATTGTGATATTGTTATGGGCTAATAGTTTTCTACAAGTGACGGAGTAAAGAATTTTTTTTAAGGGGTGTGTATGAAATCAAAGTTTTAAAAAAAAAAAAATATTATTTGTACATTTCTTAATAAAAATGAATCAAGCTTTTAATTGAGTTTGATTTACTCTTACGATTTACAAACCAAAGTATTTTGAACTTATATAGTAGTGTCATGGATTTGACATTCAAAAGCCAAATTTTGAGGTAAAATCAAAACGTTTTTGAAAAATTCATATAAATGTTATCATCAGAAATATTATTCAGATAAGACGAATTTTTCAAAAACCGTTGATCGGCATTCGGCAATATTGTGCGAGTAGAAATAAAGGCAAAAAAACAGGTAGTTGAAAATTTTTTTTTTCAAAAAAAAAAAAAAACAGAGATGTAGTTGTTAAGATAACAATAATTTGTCCTCTCTCTCCAACAAAATAATAATAATTGTTGGAGCAAAATTTTGTCCAACATTAAAATTAACGTCCTTAAAGAAAAGATTTAGATCATACAGGTAAAATGGTTAAGATCACATTAAGCAAAAGCTAATAAGACACAGAAAACCTTAAGAACAATAAACAAGTAACGAACCGGAGTCCGGTGTAATTGCTTTAAGGTATTATAAATTATGTCTATGATCTTCTTCACAATTTAAGAGAATTTATAGTACATTAAGAATGAAAGAGTTTAATCCCCTATTAAAAAGAGTTTATTCTCTATTTAATTACGACATAAAACCATTCACTTTTAGGGTGTTACAAATGATGAATACTTTTAATTGCCAATCGTTACACTACTTGATATTGTCTTATGACTTTCAAGCTTCCTTCTTTAAACCAAGCATGAAATGTGTAATAAGACGTAAAATGGTGTTATATCATAACCATGTCGTGATTAGCCCAATTATAGGTCAGTTTTCGTATCCATGAACAAGACTCAAAGAAACGCAGAAGATAATAACTAATTTTGTTTCATGACTAGTAGGTTCAGCGATGAGCCTACAATGATAATCGTTTAAAACGAACAATATTTGTAGACACGTCAAGTTTCGCATAAGTAGTATGGAGTGTAATGAAACGGTATACTGTTTAGTTCGCTGATTCGAGTTTATATGTGACTTTATATGAGAGCTTTTTACTGTAGTAAAAAAGTTAGATGTGACTGTTTCTGAGAGCTTTTTACTACAGTAAAACTCGAATTAGAGAAATGAACGGAGTCTAAATCTGTGTATATAGGATTCTTATGACGATGTATTAAATTGTTAAGTTAATGACACCGGTTATCGATACCAAATATTTGCATGCAGGTGGTTCGAGTGCAGAACCTGTGAACACAACGTTGGATGATTAGGGATGGCAATTTTACCTATTAACTCATTTAAATGAGATGGTGAAAACTTCAAACGAATTTGGGTTGTGAATGGGTTAGAATTTTAACCGTCACTGGTCACGAGACAGAGATTAATGTAAAGGTCTACAAGCTTATTCCCCATTTACTCGCGTCATTTAATTATATCCTATTTTTAAACTAAATATATTATGTATAAATATATAATTTTAAATATAATATATTACATAATATATATATATATATATGAAAATTAAAAACTAAATTTCTTTTAATTTTAACTTAATGTTTTGTATGATTATATTTGATTGTTTATTTATTTATTTATTTTATAATGAAAATAATTAATCGTGTAAATGACGCACTATGAGTATCATGAATCCGTGATGGAAAACCGGTTATGTATCAACCAATTTATGCGGATTAATAAGGCGAGGATAGTTAGTGTTTTCGTTCATGTGGCCGGTTGGTGGGAAACCACCTGTCCTAAATCCGCCTCTCCTAAATCCGCCTCGTTGCCATCCCTAAAGACAAATGGTTCGACATGTCCAATCTTGCCTTACATGAAAGCGGCTACTTCCAAGACAAAAAATGAAGTTTTCAATCTAGCTGATGATTGGAGATAAGTTCGGTCTACAAAATAATTTATTTTCTAATGTAAATTATTCGTTTGCCTATTCAATAGTGAACTAATAGTTATGTTTTTTTTTTTTTTTTTTTTTTTTTTAATATTGAGACGAACAAGTTTGATACCCTATGCTTGATGATGTATATGCAATCTATCACTTTCAATAATGTTACATTAATTACATTTAGTTATTCTATGTTTATTGATTAACCTTATACACTATATCTATCACTTAGCTGTAATTTCTGAGAGTTGTCGGTTCTAAGATTTTGTTTCGATCTATACCATCATACAAGAAAATGTTTTAAAGTAAAATTGTTTCTCCATCACCTTATTCTTCAATGTGAAAGTCATTAACTTAACAATTCAATACTTCGTGATAAGAATCGTATATACACTTATATATTTTCATTTCACACCGTGTTGCTTATGCCACAAATCCATTAAGAAGTGTACCTACTAATCATGAAACAACTGATTCGAGTTTTTAATTAGAATTAAGATGTGACTTTATGTAAGCGTTTTTTACTGTAGTAAAAATGTTAAATGTGATTATTTATGAGAGCCTTTTACTGTAACAAACTCGAATCGGTAAAATAAATGAGACCTTAATATCTTCATCGTACCTACTGATCATGAAACAAAATTAGTTAATATCTTAGGTTATCTTTTTTTTTTTTCCGGGTTCTGTTCATGGATACAAAAACAAAGAAAGAAAAAAAAACTGCTTCTCAATCTGGCTAATCATGACAGGGTTTGATATAAAACATCGTTTTATACCTTCTACAATGAATGCGAAACTAAACTACCATGGCACTTTTAAGTTAAAAATTTCTTATTCAATATGGATCTTCTTTTCTTTGTCTCGGTTCCACGAGCCCAATAAAAAAAAGAAAAGATAAATTTTATTTTACCCTCCGAAATCTATTTATCACTTTATCCCTGAACTATAAAAATTGGTTTGTGCACTATCTGAATTTTAAAACGTTATTAACAGTGTTCTTTCTATTTATTTAACTAACGGAGTTGATGACATGACAATTATTAGAGGGATAGTTTAATAAATTATTTGTATAAATACCTCTTTAAGTATGTATCATATTTTAAAGTGTCTAATGATCTATCAAAACTCATCAAAATGCCCCTAATCAAAATATGATACATACTTCAGGAGGCATTCATACAATTTATTCATTAAACTAATCCCTCAATAATTGCCACGTAATTAAATCCGTTAATCAAATAAATAGAAGGGGTACAGTGAATAATGTTTTAAAGTTCAGGAATTACGCAGACTAATTTTTAAAGTTCGTGGACAAAGTGACAAAAAGACTAAAGTTTAGGGGTAAAAATAAAATTTATCCAAAAAATAATATAAATAAGAGTTAATACAGAGAAGTTATGTCACTTTAAAAAAATATATTACTCTCACGAATCCTAAAAAATTACTTTAGCTCCAGTTTGGTTCGGTGGTTTGAATTTTGTTGATTTGAACTTTTTGATTTAAATGGAAAAATTTAAATTGTGTGGTTTAAATTGTAGTTTGAATTGATGTTTGGATGTGCAGTTAAAGTTTTAATTTGAACAGTGAATAAAATTTGAATTTGTGTTTGGTAAGTGTGAAAAGTAGAGAGAGTGAACATTTTTTTACTGTTTAAAATGTTTGAATGGTTGAACTTGAGGGGAGCTAAACTTTAAGTTAGATCGTACATGTTTATCAAATGTCAATTTAAACCGTACTTATTATTTAAATTGACTTAAACTGAACTAAACCAGTAAAATAAATTGAGGGTTAGTTACTGTGTGCGCTTCCAGTCTATTACTGGCCGTTACATTGACGTCACTGCCTGCACTAATTTTTTTTTTTTGTGATAAATCCATGATGAAATTCACAATTACATATACCACCTCAACGAAAAAGCAAATTAACAATATATCCGGGACTACAGTGGTTTCAACCAGTAATAAAAGGTCATTTTTGACTTATTTATTTTACTGATTTAAATTTTCAGTTCTAGATTTTTACAGTTAAAAGCACTCAGAAAATGTCACATCTAACTTTTTTCTGCTACAATTAAAAGCTATCAAAAAATGTAACATTTCAACTCAAATTCGTAAAGCGAACAAGACCTTTATGACTTTCTTCCACTAAAGAGAGAACATAGGTATTAGTAAATTATGTGGCATTATGAAATATGAGAAAAGTCATTTTAGTACGCTGATTCAAAATTTTAATTTGAGTTGAGATGTGATTTTATATGATATTTTTTTACTGTAATAAAAAAGTTAGATATGACTGTTTTTAAGAATTTTTTAATATAATAAAACTTAAATCGGTGAAATGAACGGGACCCAAAATATTCACCATCAGTCCACCTTTATTAAACTTAACATTGATGCGTCCTGGAAGGAGGCGGGGACTAGTCTTGTGGTAATGGCGCGTGATTCAGATGGGATTCCGTACAGGCTTAGCTTGGATTGGTCCTTCAGCTATTATTTCTCCTCTCCTAATCTTCTTATTGAGAGTGGTTGCAAAATTCTAATTGATGTCCTGAATGAAGGTAGAGTGTTATTTTATTTGAGTTTTTTTCCTATGTATCACCGGGCGGGTGATTTTAGAGCTCTCTCCTTCTCATGGGTCCCTACATCTTGTAATCTGGTGGCTGACCGTGTTTGCAAGTTGGGGTTGAACTTGAACTTAAGAATGTTTGCAGTAGGTTTGTGCGGTTATTTATTTATTTATTTATATAAACTACCGGTTAAATTTAAAATAATTTTTTTAACTAGGCGGTTTGATATTTTTGATAAAAAAATAAAGTAAATTAAATCACTCTTGAGCGGTTTGAGTGGTTTTAGTTTAAGAATAAAAAAGTTTTTAATAATTCACAAAAATTATAAAATCGTTAATCTATATAAATAAAAATAAGATTCAAGTGTACAATATAACTCAAAAATAACAAACGTCTAAAAATCACCATTTAAAGTTTTAATATGTACCAACAAAAATTTGATTGGGTGTATTTTCTGTGAAAATTACTGAATTTACTTTTAAAAATACATGAATTTAAATTTTAGTCCTTACTCTTAATTAATACCCCTTTGTTAATATAATTATTTGATTAACAATTGTATTAATCAAGAGTAAAGGTTACAAATCAAAATCTATGCACTTGTAAGGATATTTGTTAAGATTTCTCTGTATTTTATAGGTGTAGAACTTTTATTATGACCGATAAAAACTAAAATAAATAAAAATTTAATTTTAAAATAAAAAATTATATAAGTATATTTTTCAACGGATTTTTGGGCGATTTAGAGAGTTCAAACTACAAACCAAACTGTCTAAAAAAAGTTAAGCTAAAAACCCAACCAAATCATCTAATAATCCAAAACTAATTAACGATTTGGTTCGTTTTAATTTGAATTGAGCGGTTTTGACAGTTTTACTGATTTTTTAAACACCCTTACATGAACTCTAGCTCCTCAAGTTTCATTGTGCTTGGGGATTATTATTGGCCAGTTTAATTTACACGTTTAAGTCAAATAATCTTAATTATGAATTTAAATTTTATGAGAAAACTTGTTGACGAGAACTTATGTGAGAGTTGAGATGTGATTTTATGTGTGAGTTTTTTACTGTAGTAAAAAAGTTAGATGTGTTTATTTTTGGAAGAATTTTACTGTAATAAAACTCAAATTCTAAATTCAAATCGGTAAAATAAATGGGTATTTATTATTCAAATTTTATGTGAGATGGCGAGTTCAAGTTCTAAAACTAATCAGGCCCTGACTCGGTTGTGGTAACTCAGCTTGCTCTCGAAGCTTTCTGATAAAACTCTAGTTCTGACTTCTGCTATGAAAAAAGAAAAAAGAAAAAAATTAAATAAATAAACAACAGCCCGTCAATTGGATCACGTGTTCACGCCTTCCAAGACTCAGATTCAGCGGGTCCAACCCAATGACTTATCATCATAATTTCACAATAATTTCAAACTTTTCGATTTATTGCGGCCCTATTTTCTACGACGGATCCGTACAGCCATAAGTTACCCCACAAATATCTTCTGTACTATCCCTAAAACGACATCGTTACAGTACTAAATAAATCCCAACAACTCCTTTATGCCAAAAACACGTATTATATTTACTAAAAAAAACAAAAAAAAACACGTATTATAATCGCCGATTCCCACGTACAAATTTTTTTTTTCCCCCTTAATGGCTCCCCCATACAATTTCAGTTCCTAAACTTTTAAAAGACCCAATTATTATTTTGTTTTTCTACAGCTAAAAGTCCAAGACTAATCAACAAAACTCCTTATCAAAAAAAAAAAAAAGAAGAAAAAAAAAAACTAGTGAATAAAACAGTTCCCCCATTCGCCAAAAAAAACAAAAAAAATAAATAAAAAGGAAAAAGATTCGAAATGTGAAAGCATAAAAGCATTCCATTTCGGATTTTTTTTCCTTTTTCCTAATCGGAATTCCGAGCTTTCCTTTCCATCCATGGCGGCCAAGATGGGGTCGTTCAGGTACAACTTCGTGGAGAAGCGAGAGCGATTGCTCTCCATGAACAAAGGCTATTCGGAGCTGGCCGGTTTTCTCCCCACGGAATCCGACGAGGAGAACCAGCTCGCTTCTTCTCCTTCTCGGTGCTGTGGCTGTGGGTTCTTGTCGTTCCGATCGGTCTCCGATGGGCTCTTCCGGCGGTATCGGACGGCTCAGGAAGTGCTCCACAAGGCGTGGGAGATGGGCCGCTCCGATCCGAGGAAGATCGTTTTCTCGGCGAAGATGGGTTTGGCTTTGATGCTCATTTCGCTTCTGATATATCTCCGGGAGCCTTTCAAGGACCTCAGTCGCTACTCCGTTTGGGCTATTCTCACTGTCGTCGTCGTTTTCGAGTTCAGTATAGGTAAAAAATTTGTTGACTTTTTTGTTTTTGTATTTATTTATTTATTTTTTTGTTTAATTGTGTGTCCAGTTTTGTGTGAATTTATCGAGATTAAAAGGCATAGAGAGAATTTGTCCGTGTTATAATTAGCAAAAAAAAAAAAAAAAACAGAAGTGTTTGAAGTTTAAACAGTACTTTACAAGAAATTCTTACCCGAACTCTTTTTCTTTTGACTTTGATCTGAACTGAACAGGGACATGTTTTGCTCGTTTATTATTATTATTATTATTATTATTATTATTATTATTTGGTTTTTTTGGGTTTTTGTAGGAGCGACTCTGAGCAAAGGATTAAACCGCGGGATTGGAACATTATCTGCTGGAGGGCTTGCTTTGGGCATGGCAGAGTTGTCAAAATTGGCTGGAGAATGGGAAGAAGCTTTCATTATCACTAGTATCTTTACAGTTGGTCTGCACATGAACTTTTAAAACAGTGGTTTTTGTTGGACAGATTCTTGTTTTGTCTTTTTTTTTTTTTTAATTACATTGAAAAGTATTTATTTTTGTGGCTCACTATGTTATTGCCAGGATTTGTTGCAACTTATGCGAAGTTGTATCCAACGATGAAGCCTTACGAATACGGATTCCGAGTGTTCCTCTTGACATACTGTTTCATAATGGTGTCTGGGTATAGGACAGGGGAGTTCATAGAGACAGCCGTTACGAGATTCTTGCTCATTGCACTTGGTGCTGCTGTTGGTTTTGGAGTGAATATCGGCATATATCCCATCTGGGCTGGTGAGGATCTACACAATTTGGTGGCGAAGAATTTCATCGGTGTTGCAACGTCTTTGGAAGGTGATTGCATACTTGTTTTTCGACTTCTCGTGCACTTTTCGGAATTCCTTTCTTTGCTAATATGTTGAGATTCCATTCAGGTTGTGTGAGCAATTACCTAAACTGTGTTGAATATGTGAGGGTCCCTTCGAAAATTCTCACCTATCAAGCATCTGATGATCCTTTGTATAAAGGGTACAGAACTGCTGTTGAATCTACCAGCCAAGAGGATGCTCTGGTATTTTAAGTTTATACTATGATGCTTAACAGTTTGTCAGGCTGTTACTAGTGTGTACTTTAACCCCCCCCCCTTTTTTTTTTTTGAAGTTGGGATTTGCTATCTGGGAACCACCTCATGGTCGTTATAAAATGTTTAATTATCCTTGGAAGAACTATGTAAAAGTTAGTGGCTCATTGAGGCACTGTGCATTTATGGTCATGGCATTGCACGGCTGCATACTTTCAGAAATACAGGTAGTTTCTTATCTAACCTTGAATAGGGCTATTGCTATTATAATATGGATTTTCAGTACCTTCATTGGTAGGCCTTTCAGAATGGTTTAGTTAGTTTGAGGGCAACATTATCCTAAGCCTTTCAACAAATTTATTAACATATACTTATTGCACAAGTAGCCTCCCTGCTATTTGCAACTACTTTTTCTTATGAAGAAATAGATTGTCGATTTAATGGCAATACACAAGCAATTAAATACACAAGCAATTTGTTATATAGTTATAGTTTTAGATGTGTGGATGGTTATGATCTTCTATTTGTATCTTTTGAAGAGCTGCTGCAAGTCTCGAAGTCTGTTATCTGTATTTTCATTAATATGCTTCAAGTCCCTCTGCTTTGTTGCTTGTGCGCTTTCGTTTGGTACTTGGATCGGCAATGTTATGCTGCGTGTGCTTGATGTGTTTCATCTTTTCTTTTTTATTTTATTTATTTATTTTTTTGTCTAAATACTTCTATTCATCAGAATCTCAGTAAATAACTTTATTACAGCCGTGAAGCCATGAGATAACTTTGTCATAATAAGGAATTTTCTTGTTTCTCAAAATTTATACACTTTTTATAAGATCATTTTTTGTTGTTTAGCAAATAGAGGGGAAAAGAAAGAACTTTTTAGACCTTTGTTTTGAAGTAGTGATGATGCTGTTTCTCAATTTGTGTATTGTGAAGTTGTGAAAACAACCTGCAAGTGATTTTAGATACGGTCTCAAGTTTTAACCTTTACCCTTTTACGTGAGGTGGCTAAGAATGAAACTAACACTCTTGCCTAAGTATTGAGATGCAGAATAAAAGGGGTTTAGGAACAGAGTTCCTTGTAGTTGTGCAACATCAGTATCCTGTGATAGTCTAAAGAATCTCACCTTGAAAGACCGCATGTGATTCGATTTACGTGACTATTATTGTTCTTCGTGGAAGTATTCAAATCTAAGAGTTTATTTTTTTGATACGTATCTCCTTTCTCACATGCATGCACCTATATCCATGCTTGATGCGTTTCAAGAGGATTTTCCTTGAAATTTCTTTCCATTTCTTTGTTCAAAGGTGGTAATTTTACTCACCAATACAGTTGAATTTGTGTGTCCAGGCCCCGGCTGAACGAAGACAAGTTTTCCGCAATGAGCTTCAGAGGGTAGGAGCTGCAGGTGCTAAAGTGCTGCGTGAACTTGGAATTAAAGTTCAAAAGATGGAGAAGTTGGGTCAAGTTGACATCCTTTATGAAGTGCATGAGGCTGCAGAGGAGTTGCAAAATAAAGTTGATCGGAAGTCCTACCTTCTTGTCAATTCAGAAGGTTGGGAAATTGGTAGCAGGCCCGGTGAACCCCAAGAGTCCCTAAACTTGGATGTCGACGAGGATAAACATCTTGAATACAAATCCCTGAGCGAAGCTGTACTTGATCTCAGATCTGTTCCTGTACCAAAAGGTTGGGATGACAAAATTCCCGCTGGCAATAATGGCTTTAACCCCGAAGGCTTGGGGTACCTCCCGAGTAACATGAACTCCACCCAACCTCCAGGTGTTCCCTCAGATAACTTATTCAGGAAAAACATATCATGGCATGCTGGTCTTACCTGTACACATAATGGGGAGCCTATAACTGAAGAATCAAAAACTTATGAGAATGCTAGTGCATTAGCACTAGCGACGTTTACGTCTCTTTTGATCGAATTTGTTGCGAGGCTTCAACATCTCGTTGACTCGTTTGAAGAGTTAAGTGAGAAAGCCAAATTTAAGGAACCGGTGGAGTCACTAGAAACAACGGAATCTACCGGATTTTGGACGAGATTGTTTAACTGTTTGAAGTTTTGGATTTGAAATACACCATCTACAGAGTTTTGGGTTAATACAGAAGAAGGACCTTGGAAGAGTTGGCATCAATACGGTATTTGCAGTTGCTTATCAATGACTGCATTCTGAGTTAAGTATACAGTGGTACTAATTTCCGCTTCTGACATTACTCATGAACGGCATGCGCTTTTTATTGGCCGCGCTCCCTTTGCTCCGGTTTCTGCTGCGGATGAATTGCAAAAATATGTGATATTTAGTTCTGCATGCAGGATTGAGAGATTATATAGGTGGACTGAGAGATTATACGGGAGGTTAGAAAACATGGAATCCTTGTAATTATGAAACTGACTGAGAAACAAAGGGAATGAAAAATGCTGTTTTCCAACTAAATCTGCGTACATGCTGGAAAAGTTGTGGCGATATATGATGAACAGGTTTTCTTTGCTATTAAAGTTAGAACATGTTTAGAATTTGATTTCTTTGCTATTAAAGTTAGAACATGTTTAGAATTTGATCCTCCAATTGTAGTTGAAGACATGAAGTTGGAGTTTTCCATTTATTATGGTCCCGCTATTTTGAGTTTATAAACAGTGTAATGTGCTTGCAAGTTGCAATTAAAGTATTAAGTACTGTAGTAATGTGGTTTCTGGACTACAAGACAGAGATACTTTAAAAGGACTAATTGGATCCGCTTGTCCTGTTGTCCACATTTACTTTGTAGTAAGCATTAGTAGTAGATTAATAAAATTAAGGTCTTGTTTATTTTGTTGATGTGAGTTTTTAATTTTAGATTTTTACAGTAAAAAATTCTCAGAAAATGCAACATTTAACTTTTTTTATTACAGTTAAAAGCTCTTAAAAAATATCACATCTCAGTTTGAATTAAAAATTAGAATTCGCAAAGTGAACGAAGTCTAAATTAAGTAAATAATATATTTTAAAATTATTTGATGTTAATAGTAATTTATTGTGTAAATGTTTTATTTATGAGTGATAAAAAATAATTTACATGGTAAAAAAATTTTATTTACGTGAAAAATATCTTTTACTAGTCAAAAAAGAAATTTTACGTGAAAAAAACCTTTTTACTAATTATAAAAAGAATATTTACACAATAAATTACTATTTACTTTAAGTAAGTTTAAAATCTGTTATTTATTTCAATGATTTACTATGAACCAAACTATTTTCTTCATTCTCCCATTTTTGTATACCCGGATGCTTAATTTTTAAAGCGTAATGTCCTTTGAAATTTTTCTATGATTAAGCTTAAAATTCAATAAGAAATCATTATTGCCCATTTTGTTCAGTATTGCTATTTTGTTTAAGTTGTTTAAGTGGGTCTATTTTAATAGAGACAATTATAATTAAGAGAGTCAATAATAGAAAGGTGACTATTATAAAAGATTAGTTTTGCACTTTTCCTTTTCTTTAGGGTTTTTTTGTACGTTCACTTTCTTAATTTTTCAAATTTGGTAATTTGGTTCATATTCTTTTTTTCTTAACAATTGACCCCATCAACTTCAAACTTTTTGTAATTAAGGACCAACCAAAAAAGCACTTGAAAATATACATGACAACAAATAGAAAGTCTTTTAACGTTGTGCAAGTCACAATGAAGGACTTCTGCAAGATGCTAGCAATTGGTAAATATCAGGTTTTCAGATATCCCAGATGTAACATGTATGGGAATATAAGAAATAATCTGAAATTGGAGCCCATTGCCGAGGCAAAAAAGAAGGCTACGCAATTTATAACTTGCACAGAAAAGCTACAGTTTTACTTCATGTCATCTACACCAACATTGCTATTAGGCCTTGAACCTTCAAGAACAAGTTCATTTTGAAGTCTTAAGTGCCCTTTTCATGTCACCCTTATGAGTGTAGCTAGCAATCAAACTCTCATACAAACATTCGTTTACTGCTTGCTGGCGAACGATCTTTCATAATTCTAAGATACTTCTCTGCTTCCTCCAATTTTCCAGATCGACAGAGGCTCCTAATCAACGTTGTACAAACCGATGATCCAGGAGATATTGACTTGCTCACCATTTCATAAAAGAGCTTAAGAACTTCTTCCACATCGCCTTTCATCTCATAGCCAACAATGCGACTAGCATATGCGATCTCATTCGGTGAGAACCCTTTCTCTAACAATCGAGTTAGCATCGCATTTGCTTTTTCCGCTTCTCCATTCTCACAAAGCTTGTGAACCATCTCATTGAAAGCTGCACAACTAGGAACGAAGCCCTTCTCCATCATTACCTCACAATTCCTTAAGCTTCCTTCCAATCTTCCGGCTTTGGCATAACACTCAACAAGAGAGTTGTAAGTCTCCTCACATGGTTTCAATCCCATGTCTTCCATATCTTTCATCATGCAATGCGCTTCGTCGATTCTTCCCTCTTTGCAGTATGCTCCTATAAACAATGTATAAACAAAAGGGTTCGCTCGAAAGCCTCTTTTGAGCATTTCCCTCGTACATATCCCGTGCAGAAACTATATTTCCAAGCTTTAGTTTAGCATAAACAATCAAAGAGTAAGCAATTGTGTCAAACAACATATTCCTTTGCAACACTCTTTTCAACAACACAACACCTTCCTCAACTCTCCCTTCCTCTAAAATCTTGAAAACCAAACTGGTGTTCACAATCACAGAAGGAGAGCATCTTCTTCCATGAATCCTATCCAATATTTCAACATAGTTTAGCAACTTCCCTTCTTTACACAGAGCTAATCAATGTTCTAACTGTCAATTGATTTGGGTAAATTCTCCTCCAAATCATATGCTCATAAATCCTCCAAACCATAGTGTTCTCACCAGATTTCTCAACAACGTGTATGAAAGTGTTGAGACTCACCAGGTTCAACGAAAACCCATGTTCTTCTGAATAACAACTTAGCAGTGAATCAACCACCAAGAACTTGGAAGAATCCCCAGCATTTTTCTTCAAAACCGTTTCGATCAAAGCTCTAGCGTCCAAGTTCAGCCGAGCTTGAACCAAGATGTGAATGGCTAAGCAGTAAGACCGAAGGCAATGTTCGAAATTTACTCTGTTGCTGCCCAGTGGAAGAAACGTAGAGCCCATTTTGCGTCAATAGGTTGCTTCAATTCCAAGAGTATTTTCTCGACGAGTTGTTCATTGAACTTGATGTGATGGAAGTCCCTAGAGAGGGTGTCCCAAGTCCATCTGCTTCTGAACGCATTGCATATGGCTTTGACAACATTATTTGCAGCTGTTGGTTTTGTTAGTGTATGAATCAAGTGAGATAGCCCTGAATGAGGATAGAAACAACATAGTTGCCAAGGAGATTTCAAGGATTTGGAGATTAGAGATGGGACTATTTGACGCAGTAAGCTCATGTCCTGTGAAACGTACGAAACAGTTGTATTAGAAATCATGTTCTACATGAAAACCATTAGCATCAATGAAAAACGCATATTTAAAAACATATGAAGTTCTTGTCTTATCATAGACAGATCCTGTACAACTACCTTAACTAAAGAGTGAGAAAACAGAAAGCTACATTTTTTTTTTTTGGGTGAAAGGTAAACATCACAGTTTAACATTTAGATCATCAATGGCACTAAATGAGACAAGGTATCCTTCCCGCTTGGCTGGTTGATCAGGAATTTTTTCTTTTCTTTTTTTAATTTTGGTTTGCTTTATGGAAGTTCACCAGGAAATGTTGAATTACTAAGTCGTGTGCTATTGTTTACCTCAGTCGTTTTGAAGGCTTTCTCTTCAGCACAAACATACAATACTATGGAGGCCATTGAAAAAAGAATAAGGACACATGATTTTGTTTTCCTTTCCTTCCCTTTTTTTTTTCCTCAAATATTACAGTTCGACTTATCTGATCAGATTCGTGGTTGTGATTTCAGTACCATATCCTTAATCTTATACCGCATTTCATGAGCATGTACAACCTCATTCAAACTATAATAGCACCGTGTCATGTTGCAAAAGTTCTAAATGATGAATGTAAGATTCCTCTCTCATCTTCACCTCCAGCCTTCTCAGCAATTCATAAATCTGCTCAAAGTTTGGGTGAAATCTATCTCCGGAAACAAAGCTATAAATTACACTTCCTGCTTCAACCATACTTTTCCCAATCGTCTTCTTCAGCTTCTTCTCCTTAATAAGTGTTCTAAGTTCTGCTACACTTTCCCATTTCTCATCCACAGCATAGATATTTGATAACAATATGTAATACCCCGCATGAGTATAATCTAACTTGAAAAGATTCTTTGCTGCAACCTCTCCCAGCTTGATATTGTGATGTATTCGACATGCACCAAGCAAGGCTCCCCAAACATATGGCTCGGCTGGAAATGACATTTTATTAACGATTTCCATGGCCTTGTCCAACTCTCCAGCTCGACCAAGAAGATCAACAATTATCCCATAATGCTCAGAATTGGGCATCAATTGGTATTTATGCATCATTATATTGAATATTTCCATCCCTTGTTCAACCAAACCTGAATGGCTACAAGCAGATAAAAGAGAAACAAATGTCACCTTGTTTGGCCTAACGGCTGAATTCTTCACCATTTGATCAAAAATATCTACAGCTTCAACCCCACGCCCATGGGTTGCATAAGCTGCAATCATTGCACTCCAGATAAACACATCTTTGTTCACAATCCCTTGAAATATTTGAATAGCATTATCTAGGTTACCACATTTTGAGTACAACTCTATGAGTGAAGCTCCAACAAAGGCGTTGCTGTTAAAGCCCATTTTCTTCACATAACCATGAAGGCACAGAGCATGGCGAAGAATCCCCAACTGTGCACAAGCTGCAAGAATCTTCACCATGGCAACCGCATCGGGTATAATACCTTCTAGTAGCATCTGACGGAAGACTCCCATAGATTGGCATGCCATTCCATTATGGGCGTACCCACTTAACAATGCAGCAAAAGAAACCGCATCGTTTTTGGGCATTCTTTCAAACAGATCCAACCCTTGATCAGGGGCAAAGCACTTCATATACATATCAATTAGAGCTGTAGAGACCGAGACATCCAATTCAAAACCTTTCCTAGCAGCAAACTTATGGATCTTTCGACCCTCTTCTATGTTGCAGCTAAAAGCACAAGCTTGCAATGCATTAATTACAGTTACTGAATTGGGTTCAATCGTCCCATTAATCATCTCATTGAAAAGATCTAATGCTTCGACAGCAGCACCATTAAGAGCATAACAAGCAATCATTGAGCTCCATGATATCACATCTCGTTTTGGCATTTTTCTGAACAAGTTAGCAGCATATCTTATGGAACCTGTTTTTGCATATAGATTCAAAAGCGAATTTACCAAAGATATATCACTATCAAAGCCCCTCCTAATACCAAAACCATGTATGCAACTGCCAAGCTTTAAATTTGGCAACTGCGAACAAGCAGAAACAACACTGACAAGAGTCACTCTTTCAGGGTTTAAACATTCCACCATAACCATTTGCGAGAAAAATCTTAGTGCTTCTTCGGGATTACCATTTTGCTCGTACCCAGTAACCATTGAAGTCCATAGAACAATATCGGGATGAGGAAATTCCTTGAACACTTGTAAAGCATCATCCATTACTCCACATTTCGCGTAGAATTCGACCAAAGCAGAACCCACGTACATGTCTTGTCCAACCTTGTCATGTTTCTTTATAAACCCATGAACCATTTTGCCATATTTTAGCGCCCTTAACCCCGCACACGCCTTAAGTGCAATGGATGCTGTGAAATTATCAGGCTTCTCATCATGATCTCTCCCATTAGATATCATGTCCCGAAAGAGGTACAAGGTCTCTTCCCATTGCATATCTCTACAGTAGCTCCTGAGGGTAGCGTTCCAGAGATAAACAGTTCTGTGCGGCGTTTCGCCGAACAGTTTACGGGCATCGCCAAGTAATGCATGCTTTGCATATAAAGCAATGAGTTTCGTGGCAAAGAAACTATCATGGGCAAGGCCAGCTTTGAAAGCTTGGGAGTGAAGTTGTACTACTGATTTCCCACTATCACATAGTTTAAACAGAGTAACAAGAAGCTCCCTCCTTTTCATAAAGGTAAGAAGACCCAAAAACACGTCACTAAATGCCTAAGAGGAAGCAATGCTAATCAGGAAAGAAAAAGACAACCATTTAAGATATAGACATTAACACTTTTAGCAAAATTTGCAGTTATCCTAAGATTCTTCATTCTCGTTAAGTTCATTAAGTTAATACGAATGACATATTAAAGACATTTGAGATGTAAGGCGTAAAGGAAAGGAGATGTGTTTACCCAGCAGAAGGATGGAACAGAGAGAGATCGGATTTGAGGGAGTGAGACAGATAGAGGTTAAAGAATTCTGATCCAAAGTGAAATCGTCTTCAAGCAAAACTATGTTGTGCTGTTATAGATATATGTTATAATAAAATCTTCTAGGATTATGATTATTTAATTCCAGAATAAAAGAGTTTTTTAAATATAAATAAGTTATAGATATATAAAATATATATAATTTTAGGAAAACTATATAGATAGAAATTGGTTTGGATTTTTAGGGGTAAAACCACTAACCAAATTAATTTAGGGTCAGTTTGGTATTGTTGTGCTTGTTGTGCTGTTAGTCAGAAGTTGTTGTGACTATAAACATTTAAGTGTTTGGTAAACTTTTTTTCAAAATTGCTGTGAATACCAGAAACAGAAATTTAGGTATTTGGTAAATTATATACAAAATTACTATGAAGATGTATAATAACTAAAATAGACATAATTTAACACACATACTTATAAGGAAAAATTTCATTTTGGTACCCTTTGTTATATTGAAATATGAGTTTGGTACCCTTTGTTTTTAATAATTTCATGTTAGTACCTTGACCTTTTAGAAAATCATCTTTTAGTACCTCATGACAGTTTTTAGGGATATGAAAAGACAAAATTGTCCTTATTATTAAATATATAAAAAGGCTTTTTAAAAAAAAATCTTAAACCTGCAATCAAGATTTTTGTTTTATGTTTAGGGCAGAATGAAGTTTAGGTATTTAGTTACAAGTCTAAGATTTTTTAAAAAGTTTTTTTATATTTAATGATAAGGACAATTTTGTCTTTTTGTATCCGAAAAAACTACCCCGAAGTATCAAAATAAGATTTTCTAAAAGGTCGAGTTATCGACATGAAATTATTAAAAACAGAGGGCACCAAACTTATATTTTGATATAACAGGGTACAAAAATGAAATTTATCCTACTTATAATTAATTTTGTTTCTATTTTTATAGTCAATATTGATAATATTTATACACCAAAATACTAAGAACATATAATTTTCATTTTATTAATTAAAATATCTCTAAAAAGAAATTGGTTTTATTCAACGAAATAAATTATATTTATAAAAAAATCAAAAAAATAAAGAACTAAAGGAAAATTATTTTTCAAACTTGCAAAATTATAATAAAAATATATTATTAAAATTTAGCATAAAATAATTATTAAAGGTTTTTAATTTTTAAATAAACATTTCAAATAAAATATATCTTTTAATTTGATTTGTAAGAAATAAAATGAGTTATTGAGAATTATGTTTTATTATTAGGGACATTTTAGTAAATTTGGACAATGACAGCAGAAGCTACTGTGAAAAAGTAATCCCTGGCCTGCTTATTAAATTATACTGTTAGGCAGCAGTTGATAGAAGCTGCTAGACAAAAGCAGGTTTTGCCAAATATCCTGACCTGCTGTAGCTTCTGAAAAAAGCTAAAAGCAGTATCTAAAAGAATGCCAAACGTGCCCTTAATTGGTTTTTTTTTTAAATTTAAACCAAACCTAATCGATCCTTAATTGGTTTGGTTTGATTTAGTTGGTTTGAATAGTTTGGTGCACTCCCTATTTTAGATTAGAACTAGTCAAAGGGCAATTAAATAGATTACTAAAAATACCCTCAATGATCCATTAGTAATTTACAAGATGCTGCTGGGTCTTTGCTCGCCGACGCCGGCCATGCGTCAGCTATAGTCTGCCAGACTATAATCTATAGTATGACAGATTACACCAGCCGTTACTGATCTCATATTATGATCTATAATCTGATAAGTTATTTCTCATAATCTGACAGGTTATTTCTCATAATTTTGACAGACTATGTTGTATAATATTGGGCTAGACCAAACTGGGCCGGGAGCAAACAAAAGACCGTTCTGTAGAGCAATTACCGTCTAATCAAATGGCGCAAGCCTGTTTTGAAATTTCCGTTTTCTAGAGCGTTTGGTCAAAAAAGAAAAGAAAATCCTCGATTTTGAAGGGAAATAGAAAAATAGAAAAAAAAAAGAAAAAGAAAAAAGAACAGACCTCTCTACTTCTCTCCCCTCCTCAAGATCTCTTTCTCTCTCTTCTCTTCAAACATCCCTCTCAGATCGAGCTTTACAAACCCATTCTCAAGCGGTACCAAAATCTATTACACCTTCTTGCTTCTTCAGGTTTTCCTGCGATTTCTTTCGTTAAGTTTTACACTTTTCATTACCTTTTTCAGTGAAAATTTTTGCTTTTGTGTTTCGAAAACTCGATCCTCTTTTCTAGGGTTTCCCTTCATCTGCATAACTCCCAATTAATTTCAATTAATTTGTGGATTGGAAGAGCTTACTTTTTTTTTCCAACTGTAGCCTTATTCAATTTCTCGCTTCTCTATTTTGTCATAATCTTTGTTTTCATTTTGATCCAGTTAAGGAATTAGTTCAAGTGAAACTCAGGAAGAATCTAACGAAACTGCATTAGTTTTGAATTTGGAGTTTGGCTTTGAGTTTTTAGTTCTTATTATTTAAGGATTGAATTACAATTTTGTTTAATTTTTTAATTTAATTTTATAGGTGTAAGGATCTTGTTGCAAAAGATGGCTATGGTGGATGAGCCTTTATACCCAATTGCGATCTTAATTGATGAGCTGAAGAATGAGGATATTCAGCTCCGATTGAACTCGATCCGGCGACTCTCGACGATCGCTCGGGCGCTCGGAGAGGAGAGGACGAGGAAGGAATTGATCCCTTTTCTCAGCGAGAACAATGACGACGACGACGAAGTGCTTCTCGCAATGGCCGAAGAATTGGGGGTTTTTATCACCTATGTTGGAGGTGTAGAGCACGCCAATGTTCTGCTCCCTCCTCTGGAGACTCTCTGCAGTGTGGAGGAAACTTGTGTGAGGGACAAAGCTGTGGAGTCCTTGTGTAGGATTGGTTCCCAGATGAGGGAAAAGGACTTGGTTGAATACTTTATTCCTATGGTCAAGGTCAGTACATTTTTATTTATTTATTTGTTTATTTGCTTTTGGGTTTTGCTTTTTTCTTTGTTTCATTTTTTGGTAAAATGTTCAAATGTGAAATGTTTGTGATTGATTGCAGCGAATACGAAACATTTAAGTTATTTTAGCCCTAGGTGAAATACTAAACATATAGATCTGAAGTACAACTATGCTGTCCAAAAAATAAAACAAGTGGTAGTTTAAAACATGGAGTACTAATATATCCTTAGCAAATATATGACATTCAGCCAACCTTTGATCTTTATATATGCTAATGTCATTTTGGGGCACAAGCAGTATTATTGTTTTTCTTATTTATTGATTGTTAATATTCACTCATACATTTGCGCTTCATCATTGTGAAAAGTTGTTGGGTCAAAGTAGCAAACAATGTATATTAGCAATAAGTAGTCAATTTCTGATACAGTTCTATTTTACGTAGTGGTTATCTCATATCTGAATACCACAACATGAGTCCAATGTAGGCTGTCTTGTCTAGTAAATAAGCAAAACCTCCATAGCAGTTAATTGGAAAATCAGTCCTTCTAATACATATCGCTCATCTTTGAAGAAGCATGGTACAACCATGTCCACATTGTTTATCTTGTCTTATGATAGTAACTGATTGCCTATGCCTTGAATTATGATATGTGATATCATTATGCCTCAATATCAGTAGTATGATTGTCTTGAATCTTTCTGAGCACCCAAATCTGCAATGTACAGAGACTGGCTGCTGGGGAGTGGTTTACAGCTCGAGTTTCCTCATGTGGTTTGTTTCATATTGCCTACCCAAGTGCCTCAGAGACTCTAAAAACTGAACTGAGGACAGTATACAGTCAGCTCTGCCAAGATGATATGCCAATGGTTAGAAGATCAGCTGCAACTAATCTAGGAAAATTTGCTGCGACTGTTGAAGCTGCCTTTTTGAAAATTGACATCATGTCCATATTTGAGGACTTGACACAAGATGGTATAGTTACTCTCTTTTAGTTTTATTTTTATTTATTTATTATTTCAAATCATCTAGTATATAGTTTTCTTTTTGAGTTTTTGATTTTAAATATTGTAATATATCATGTTTGAATTATATTCAAATGTTGTTTCCATAACGATTTAATAGTTAAATTATATGCTGGTCACCCCCTTTCCCATTCTGTTCGGTTATTAGCTGTTGAGGGTTGTGCAGCTCTTGGGAAGTTGTTGGAACCCCAAGATTGCGTAGCTCATATTCTCCCTGTCATAGTTAATTTTTCACAGGTATAGATGCATTTTCTTTTATGGTGAGATGATCCTTATTACCTGTTAATCTTCAAGGTAGTTGTACCGATACTGTAATAATAGTAGAGTAATTCATATTTAGTTCTTATATATTTTATTATTCTTTGTCTCCTTCGCTTTATTGATTTCTTCCTAAATTTGTAGTGGTAGGTGATATGTGTGATAAGTAATAAGTAATAAGTATATTTTGCAATGGTCATTATGCAAGTTGGTTATTTCAAACTGATGGAATTCACTTCATGCTATGTAAATTATAGTTTCTTGAGCTTCAAAAGTCCCAGTAACTTGTATGTCATGCTATGTCATATATTTAAGTCTCTTATGAAACCAATAAATCATTTTGATATTCCTCACAACTAGGATGTTTGGGATAAATTTTCAAGGCATTGTCTGGAAAGATTGCTGATTGGCCCCTCTTATATGATCTACAAGATTAGTTTTCCGTTCCTAAGTCCTTGAAAAACCAACAGTAGAAAAAGGGGGGAAAAAGGGAAAGATGTGATATGCATATTTGAGGTGGCAATTTTTGTCGTGGTTTCAAAAGCGTAATGTATATACATCATGTATGATTGTATTCTATTTGTGCACGTGGCTTGTCTATTAATTTAAACAAAGTAAAAGGATGAAAGTTGCCTTTTATTAATACTTGTTTTTTTGAATAAATCATGACACTAGATTTGTTTATTATTATTATTATTATTATTATTATTATTATTATTATTATTATTATCATTATCATCATTATTATTTTTTTTGTTGACTAGGATAAATCTTGGCGTGTTCGCTATATGGTTGCTAATCAGTTATATGAATTATGTGAAGCTGTTGGTCCAGAACCTACCAGGTATTCCCTTAGATGTGGTTCTGCAAATTCTCATACAATTTAACGCTATTTTCTTTTCTGTAATTGTTTCTTCCCTGTTTCCTTATCCAGGAAGTGTTTGATTCTCTTGTTTTCTTTAGGAACCGAGTCAATGTGAAAGCTTTTGCATATATGTTTGGGTTATAACAGACAATTGTTTATTTTAGGTCGGATCTGGTGCCTGCCTATGTTCGGCTACTTCGTGATAATGAGGCTGAAGTACGAATAGCGGCTGCTGGGAAGGTGACGAAGTTTTGTCGGATTTTGAGTCCAGAACTTGCAATTCAGCACATCCTACCATGTGTGAAGGTATATGCTAATCAAATGCTTGGATCTTACTCTTTCTCTCTCTATCTTTTTCTTTTTTTCTTTCTTTTTTTTTTTTTTGTGAATTGTGCAGTTCATTTTTTTTGTTATTTCGATATTGCCTGTGAAAATTGTATTTAACTATCAAGATGCTTGCTTTAGGAGTTGTCAACAGATTCATCACAACATGTTCGTTCTGCGTTGGCTTCAGTTATAATGGGTATGGCACCAGTTTTAGGAAAGGTACGAACTTTGTATAGCTAATCACTCATTATTGTTATTGTTACTCTATTTCAAAAGTTTTATTCTTAGCTATGTTGGTGTGTTTAATATCTTTGTCATCGAGGGCTTCTTAGTAATTGGTGTGGTTATATCTCCATAATGTAATACCATACTTTATAGTTTATACAAAGTTGCTTTGTTTTGCCATTATTCTTGTATAAGTTTCCATTTTGGGATGACATAGTTGTAACGTACTGGAAGTGTCACATGGATGGAATCAGTTAAATTACAAAGATTAGTACGAGCACGTTAAAAGCAATATGATATGATTTGCTAAATGAATGCAATCAAGTGCAGTTGCTCCATTAGAAGAATCTCTCTTTCTGTCTCTGAAAGTAGACGTGTCTGTACCCCTAAATCATTTAATTTCTATTTGTTGATTGCAGGATGCAACCATCGAGCAACTGCTTCCTATTTTTCTCTCTTTGCTGAAGGATGAGTTCCCTGATGTCCGCTTGAATATTATCAGCAAGCTTGACCAAGTCAACCAGGTTTCTTAAAAATTTCAAAAAATATTTTTCATTTGTTTGTTTTTACCCTGCAATTCTGCTGGTCGTCCTTGTTATTCTTTACTTATTTATTTAATATTTATGTGTTGTGGGGGTTGTTGGGAGTGGAGTTGGGAGGATAGCATTTGTAGGAGCTAGGATTTCAGAGCTAGTACAATTCAAGATATAATTGGTCAGTCTTATTTTGATATATGGTTTGGATTCTTTCAACGGTTCTGAAACAAGGAACAAAATGCTTGTATATTTAGAACTTACTGTTTTGATGAGTTATTTGGGTAGAAATTGAAAATGCTGAATATCTGTGCTGCAAACCTCCATAACATTAATCTCTTTAACCTGCTTGAAAGACTTTTATCACAGCTTAATGCCATCCTGCCTGTCAATCTGATTTCATTATTTTCCTTTTTGTGTTTCATGCATTAAATTATTCCTAAAACTTGTACCTTACCGATATTAGTTGTACTTAACCTTGAAATTGAACGATTTTTTATCTGTTGATGCAGGTGATTGGAATTGATCTACTGTCTCAGTCTCTTTTGCCTGCGATTGTTGAACTTGCGGAGGACAGACACTGGAGGGTTCGGCTTGCGATCATAGAATATATACCCTTGTTGGCGAGTCAGTTGGGTGTAGGGTTTTTTGATGATAAGCTTGGTGCTCTTTGCATGCAGTGGTTAAAAGACAAGGTTTGTGAAGCTTGGGGCTATGAATTATAGCATTATAATTTATGAATTAGGTCATGCTAAATAAGAGGACCGTGATGTGAGCATCATTAATTTCAGTAGAGCTTTTTTAAAAAATATATATATAAAGCATATTTTAAAAAAATCACATAAAAAACTAATTAGGATGTACATATGAGAAGGAGAAAAAGTTTGTTTATGGCATATTCGAGGAAAAAGATTTTAGTGAGTAAAAAAAATAGTCACAGACATGTAATCTAAAATATACAGAGGATTGTAAGAAAATTATTTAAGTAAGAACATATTTGCAAAAAATATTTTTAACTAGGAAATTAGAGAAGAGAAAATAATTTTGCGAAATGGATTGAATATATTGTGAAAAAAACGTCAAAAAATGAGAAGAAACAAAAATAAAAGCCAAGCATACAAATAAAAAATAACTGAGGAGCAAATAATAAAAATAAGAAAAGCAAAAAAAAAAAAAAAAAAAAAGGAGGAACCAAACTTCCACCTTTGCATTTCCTGAATAGTGAAAATTTTCTTTTATATATTTTCTGTCAACTTGTTTCTTATGTACTCACTGGAATTAAATTAGTTATTTCCTATTTATTTATTTTTGTAACATTAGCTTTAGAAAATTCTAAGCATAACACTACTTTTTATAGTCCATCTTAGTAACAAATATTGGTGGATATTGCAGGTTTACTCAATACGTGATGCTGCTGCTAATAACGTAAAGCGTCTTGCGGAAGAATTTGGACCAGATTGGGCAATGCAGCACATAATCCCACAGGTTTTTCTGAATCAAATTTGCGATAAATGGTCTCTGTTTTTGATATAATGATGTAACACCTTCAAATTCAGCAGAAGATTTTGATGCTGTGGTTGTAGTTTGGTAGACAAGTCTCAATTAAATTATATTAAGTAGCAGCTTTTCAAAATAATATCTCTTGCACTTTTAGTTGACTGGTTTTCTAAGGTATGCCTTCTTTCATAATATATTAATAAAAATAAATATACGTATATATGTACGCATGTATGTATGTATGTATGTATGTATGTATGTAACGACTATTTTGTAATCATCTATCATGCTTTTAGTTGGAATTTTTACTCTATAAATTGTCATCATCTTGTCTTTTGTTCAATTCTTTCTCTGCCTATGATGAAATTAAGCTCTTCGAACCTGTAAAGTTTTTAGAAGTGCGGGTTTTGTGGACAAACTCTTTTGAGACGCTCCCTCATCTGTTCCTGGTAGCTCTATTTCTCAGTATCAGTGAGAAATGCTGTTTGTATCTAATTGGTTGCCTTTTATTTTCAATCTATTCATAGGTGTTGGAAATGATAAACAACCCACACTACCTATATCGGATGACCATTTTGCACGCAGTTTCTCTCCTTGCCCCGGTAATTGGATCAGAGATTACTTGTTCAAAACTTTTGCCCGTGGTTGTTACCGCATCTAAAGATAGGTAAAGACTTTGGGTTCTCTGACTTGGTCGTTTTTTTTGTTTGATTTAACGTGAGTGGGGCTAAGAATTGTGTCTCACAGGGTACCCAACATCAAGTTTAATGTGGCTAAGGTGTTGCAGTCGCTTATTCCAATTGTTGATCAATCTGTAAGTGACTTGTCTTTTTGTCCGAGGCATTTTTGTTACAATTTTTTTCTTCCTGCCGGAAAAGTAAGTTGTATTAGTGAAGAAATACTATATATCATATAGGATCACTTGGTACTTAATACGCTGATGTTTAGGACGGAGAAACTAACTAATGTAATATCGAATTGATTTGGGTTAATGTTGGAAGACAAACTCTATGAGACGGATTTAAAAGAGAAGTGACAAGAGAAACAGTTTAAATGTTCATTTTTTCTTGTTTCTTGGAACCAAGCCAATCACCGTTATACTATCTAGTATTCTAGTGTGCCATGGGCATTTCCATTAAAATGACAATCTATCCCATTTGCGTTGCAAATTAGCACTGTAGAATTATCCTTCAAATTTGAACGATTCAACTTTGTTTTTAACGAGGGATTGATGACGTCATTGAAACAACGTAGGTTGTGGAGAAGACGATCCGACCCTGCTTGGTCGAGCTTAGTGAGGATCCAGATGTTGATGTAAGATTTTTCGCCAACCAGGCACTACAATCGAGTGATCAGGTGATGATGTCTAGCTAGATGGATTTTATCATTCCTTTTTTTCTTTCTACCTTTTTTCCTCTTTAGAATGTATTTTCTCTTGTGTCCTACCAGTTGGGAAGTTCAGCTACAAGTTCTGGTGTATGTAATGTCATGCTATGCAGATTTTAATTTTTGGTCAGTCAAAACTATTGTTACCATTTTGATACGTTCGTGTGCATTTCTTCGTGCCACTTTCTTTTCTATTTTTGTATTATGTTCTTTTTCTTATTTTTGCACTTATCATTTTAATTTTCTAAGAATCTCCTGAGAAGATTGTGAATGATTTTGATCTCTCCCAAATATTATTGACCAATACATCTGATATATATTGTATATAACATCTTGCTCTCACTGGCTCGCTGCGTTGGTCGTGTTTCAAGGTGAAGCAGCAATTGTTCTTGCAAGTTTTTGCCTTGAAAAATGTCAAATCAAAACTTCCCTTTGAAAGCACAAGGAAAATTGTAAAAATAAAGGGATTTAGTTACCGGTGGAAAGACCATTCTTTTTATTTTTATTTTTTTTGAAGAAATTTGAGTGATAACTTGAGTTGTGTATGTGAGAGAAAAATATTATAATAAAAAAAGTTAAATTTAAATTTTTATAAAAGAAAATACCGTAGTAATATGATTTGAATCATGAAATGAATATATCTTAATTTTCTCGAGAAAAATATAATGGATTTAGTCTAGTAAATACAACAGCTAAGTATGGAAATTTGTCTGCTTTAGAGCTTTGTAATCAGAGTATTTTGAAACTTTGGAGAGTCGCCTATTAAACTGTGCGAGCCTCCTCTTCTTTACCAATATGCGACCCAACAAATTTGTAGAAATTCAACCAAAAACAATTTCCACTCGTGAACGTGGCTTGTAGTCCAGTTTAGCATTTACTTTTGGGGAAAAGTCGAGTTTCCCCTCCCCCTCTTTAGAAAAGGTGTTGTCACGTAATCAATTTAAAAATTTCTACTGGAAAGTTACTTCATTAACCTCATCTTCAAGCCTGATCTTTTTTTTTTTTTTTTTTTTTTTTACACCGCGTGGTGCAGTATTTGAAAATTATTATTGAGAAAATTGGTTAGCTCTCTTAGAGCACATTAGTCTAGATTTTTATTTTTTACTTTTGATTAATATTTTTTTAATTAATATAATTATTTGACGAAAAAATATATTAATTAAGAGTGAGGAATAAAAATCCGGACTCATACACTTTAAATGGTATTTATCTTTTTTTCCTTAAATTATTTGATACTCAAACATCGGAAAATCAGGTATAATAATGAGGAATAATGCTCAACGCTGTGTCTTACAATATATAGATTACTTTTTAGTAGTAGTGATACTTAACATCGGTGGTGTATTTAAACATTATTCGAGCCATAAATATGACTAGAACTTGGCAGAAATAATACAAGGAAACTATATCTCAAGCACTAATATATATACACGGGCATATTTTCTTATTTTATTTTTCTTTTCATTTTTGGCTGGAAATGTACGAGCATACTTTATCCTGTTAGTTTTTAGCAAAAGGCAAGTTTTGTATGTACAAATAAGAATCATATATATTAAATTTCCACATTACTCGAAGAATGGAAGGCTATCAAATCGTCGTGGTTTGACACAATCTGAGTTGGTCCAACCAATTTTCTGGTTTTCATTGTCATACACCACCAAATGCCCACGCAATGATATATCTGCAGGCCACAAATTCATTAGTTTTACAAATACAGCAATCATGTTGAGAGGGCAAAAAAGAAAAAGGTTTCTACGCAGCACTAAAAAAAGTTTAACCAATAAACACGACATTTCATAAAGAAAGGCCAGATCTAACAAGTTCTGAGAGCATCCTAATGCAATATTAAATTTGTGTGCCAATGTCAAATTTTAGCACTGGAGTAGAAAAATCACTCTCCAATGTAACGCCATTCTTCGTTGATTGTTATTGGTTGATGTGTTTTCCTTTTAATTTAATTACTATAACATTGACATTTTCAAATTATTTTAATATTAAAAATGTACTTTCATGACTTTCAAAACTTAATGATTGTTATAAAAAGTAGATATAGCATATAAAAGAGCATTGTGCATTAGAGCCAAAACGAAAATACCACATCATTATCAAATATGCCATGTTTACTCTTTTTGGTGCCAAATATATCATTGACATTAAAGGGAAACACAGAAGAGTCCTAGTAAAACAGATTTATTTATTTTTTACTTTTGTTCTAATTGCATACCTCCAAGTATGGTTGTGTAACCGTCATGTACTTTGCTTCCGTCTAGGATGCCCAAGCACACATTGCCTTTGCTCTGCCAAAGATTTGAGCTTTGTGAGATAAGTGGGTACTTGATAAATTTAAAGAGAGAAAAAAAAAAAAAAAAAAAAAAAAAAAACTTTTGGGGTTTTC